AGCCTCTCTATGGGAAGAGTATCAGAGAACTCGTGGCTATTTTTAATCCAACACAGATGCCAAGATTGCTACCTTAACATAAATTATATCTTTGATAATTCATGTTATGACTAAATATCATAACTGTGGATGGTTCAGGATAACTTGAATGGAAATCTAAGAAGAGAAGAGGTGAAGATATGAGTATGACCCCTTCACACTGGAGGCTATGGGAAGCCATTTCTCAGAATGAGAAATCTATTTTACTTACTCTCAGATTCACCTTGGCAGAATGGCAATGCCTGCTTCTATTGTCCTCCCTACCCCCTTCATCTCCCTCAAGCAAGTCAGGGTAAGAAGCTTTATTCCTCTGCTAGGATTCATGTCTTTCTTGACTCTGTGAATCGCCCATCCCAAAAAACAGAGCATATAGTAGAGTATGGAGCCTACAGCAGAATCAAAACAATGCCATCAATTGATACTTTACCCCCTGCCCCTGCCCAGCACCTTCTACTCTGCTATCTTTTAACGAAGGCCACCATCTACTTTAAGTTAAACACTGCACTAGGTAATTTAAATACCTTTTATTATTTCATTGTAACAGCACTGGACATTGTTCCAGAGAAGGGAACTGAGACACAGATATCAAGTGACTTTACCCCATACAACTACATAGGTGGCAGAACCTGGATACCAAAATCTTGAGATGTTTTTATTCCAAAGTCTATGACTTTCAGTATACCATATTGCTCCTCAAGGAAAAAGGAACAAAAGTCTGTATGTTGGACACTCAGAGTACTTCTCTCCTATTTTACTCATCCATCCACACAATATCTAAGATATGCTGAGGATGCCTCCACACTGACAGAATCTCCAGCCTATTAAAAGAATTCTAAGGAGAAAAGTTGTACTTCTAGCACTGGCATTTCCAAATCTTGGTATTCACAAGCTTGGCATTTCCAGCACATCATAAAAAAATAACTTTAAATTCTACTAAACATTTTGCTGCTGTTTCTGGTGCCTCTATATTGCAAGGGAACAATGGTTATTTATCCCAGAAATATAAGGTTGGCATAACATGAAAATCAGTTGACAAAATGCATATGATCATCCCAGTATGTAAAGAAAAAGCATCTGACAAAATCTATCACCGTTTCATGATGAATGCACTTAACACACTAGGAATCAATAGAAGGAAACTTTCTCAACCCAATAAAAGCCATCCATGAAAAAAAAGAAAACATAGCTAACATCAATACTTAATGTTGAAAAACTGGATGTTTTACTTCTAAGATCAGAGATAAGGCCAGTATGTTTGCTTTCACCAGTTCTATTCAACATTGTCCTGGAGGTTCTAGCCAGGACAATTAGACAAGGAAAAGCAAGAAAAGATATCCAGACTTGAAAGAAAGAAGTAAAATTATCTTTATTCTCAGATAACATATACTGTATATGAAAAATCCTAAGGAATCTACTAAAAAATCTTCAGCAAAGTTGCAAGATACAAAGTCAATATAGAAAAATCATTTGTATGTCTTTGTATGTTTATACTCAAACAATGAACAACCCAAAAATAAAATTAAGAAAATAATTCAATTTAAAATATCATTAAAACAATCTTCTTTCCTCTATGGAATATCATTACTGTGTTGCAAAACTGCATATATATTCATAGAGGCATTTTTTCATATAACAAATATAATTCTAAAGATTTGAGTGAGAATCAAATTCTGGTAAAAGAGATTCTATATTTTAAATAAGGTTTTAAAATTTCTAATCTCACATTTGTGTTCTTCCATAAACAGAAGTCCTTAATATCAATGAGATCCACAGAAAGGAAGAAGAAAAAAACAACCAGCTCTTAAAAAAAAAGTTACCTTATCAAAAATGTAAACCAAATAGTCCAGACACTTGTCAACATGTGCTCAGGATCATCAGTCATTAGGAAATACAAATTGAAACTACTAGATGTAACTACACAGCCATCATACTGACTAAAATAAACTGAAAGCACACATACACTTATTAAAAGAAACATACACAAGCATATTAATAGCAGCTCCTTATCATACTAGATCCAAAGCAGAAACCATTCAAATACCCATCAGCAGTCTGATGGATAAATGCATTGTGGCATATTCTTCCAATAAAATTTGGTATAGTAGTAAAATCTCACAAACTCCAGCTACACAAAACAGGGGTGACTCTCACAAACCTAATGTCAAAAACATCAGACCTACTGCATGATTCCGTTTATGTGAAGTTCAAAAACAGGCATGATTAATCTATGGAGAGAGACGATAAAAGAGTGGTTTCCTTTAGGTGGTTGACCAGGGCATACTGACAAGGAGGAAACAATGGGGCTTCCAGGGCACTGGTGATGTTTGAGTCATGGATGTGCTCATTATAAAACTTTCATTTAGCTGTACACATGTATTTGTGTATTTCTATGTAATTCAATATAGGCTCTTGAAATTCTCAAAAATAAGGGGATTGCCTACATAGAATAAATGGCAAATTTGTTAATAAAGCAAAAAGAAAACATAAAGAAAAATAAAATAAAATATCATCAAAACAATAAAATACACAGGAATATATTTCACCAAAATGTAATACCTGTATACTGAAAACTACAAAGTATCATAGAAAGAAATTAAAGATGATCTAATTCAATGGGACATCATTGCATGCTCATGGACTGGAAAACTTATTATTAAAATAATAATACTCTCCAAATTAATCTATGGTTTCAGAACAATCTCCATCAAATCTCAGCTGGCTTTTCTGCAAAAATTGACAAGCTGAACCTAAAATTCACATGGAAATGACAATGACCCAGAAAAGCCAAAACAGTCCTTCTTAGCTATGACACCAAAAGCACAAGCAACAAAAGAAAAAACAGATAAAAATAGAATTCATCAAAATTAAATAATTTTGTACTTCAAAGGATGTAATCAGAGAGTGAAAATACAACCCACAGAATAGGAAAAAATACTTGCAAGTCTAAAAAGGGTCTATTATCTAGAATATAAAAAGAAATCTTACAACTCAACAAAAAAAGAAAAATAACCCATTTAAAAATAGGCAAAGAATTCAAAGAGACATCTTCTCCAAAGAAGACATAGAAATAGCCAACAAGTAAGTGAAAAGATGCCCCAAATCATTAGACATCAGGGAAATGCAAATTAAAATCTCAATGAGATACCACTTCATATCCACTAGGATGGCTATAATTTTTTAAAATGGAAAGTAAGTATTGGTCATGATGTTGGGAAATTGGAAACTCTGTACATTGCTAGTGTAAATGTAAAATGATGCAGTCAATTTGGAAAACAGCTGGCAGATCCTCAAAAGGCTTACATATAGTCACCTTTGACCCAGGAATTCTGTTCCTAGATATATACCCAACAGAAATGAAAATATATGTCTATACAAAAATAGTACAGAAATATTTCATAAAAGTATTATTCATAATAGCCCCTAAGTGGAAAAACCCAAGTAAACATCAACTGGTAAATGGATTAAGTAAAATGTGTTATATCAGTGGAATAGTATTCAGCTATGAAAAGCAGAAGTACTGATACATACAATGATGTGGATAAGCTTTGAAAACATTATGCTAAATTTAAAAAGTTAGACACAAAAATCCATATATTATATGATTCCACTTATATGAAATGTCCAGAATAGGCAAATCTATATTGACCATGGTTGTTGGGGGCTGTGCTCAAGGGGGAATGGGGATTGACTGTTAATGGGTAAGGGCTTTCTTTTGCGGTTATTCTGGAATTAGACAGTGGTGATGATTGCACAACTTTGTGAATATACTGAGAACCATGAATTGTATGCTTACAAAGGGCAAATTTTGTGTTATGTAAATGATATATCAATAAAGCAGTTATTTTTAAAAAGTAAAACTGTACTTCTTATGACCAGATAGGAGAAATGTGCTAAATCATCAGCTTTCTCTACCCCAGCTAACAGGACCAGCGGCTTGCTTCCCTTTTCTTCTGCCCTCAAGTATTTATTCATTCCTTCATCTATGGCAGAATTATTATATTTACCAGTCAGCCCTGCCCTGAGCCAATAACACTGGACATTCCAGGGTCCACACCTGTCACACTCTTCTAAATAGACCTTCTCTCATGTTATGTTTGTATAGTGAACAACTCCTTCCTCCAAAATTGGGTCAAGTGAGACTCAAAAAACAGTCTGAGGCAATAGAGAGAAAGGGAAGTATTAGAACATAAGCTATAGGGAATGGGTAGTCTTATTGTTCTAAAATCCTCTCCTACAACTGGAAATGCTCAAGGAAACCTAGACATTTCCCCTCCTACTCTCCCAAAATGGTTGGTTGGGAAAATATTTTGAAGTCTTCCAATTAGAGTCTAATCTACTATCCAGTTCACATTAGTTAACATAAGCCATTCTCAGTGAGAACTGGCAATCATAGAAGAGTCCAGCACTACTTCTGTCACCCATTCTAAAACTTAACAGCTCTTGCATTAACATGCCAATAGTGATGTAACTATGCCAGTGACATGCCAGTAACAATTCCCTGTATTAAACCTAGGTTCCTAGCACTTAATGTAAACCAAAGTACCTCTTGTTATAGTCTCAGTGCCGAGTGAGAAGAAATACTGTTGATTTATATTTGGAAAACAGTGCCTAGAAAAAAATACTAATAGGAACTAAGATTTATGCAGAGTATTACGCAGAATATAACACATAACACAGTCCCTAAGTATTTGGAATCCCTCTGTAGAAAGGGTTGCCCCAGACTTGTCAAAGACTCTGAGTAAAAGTTCATTAAGGGTGTGGAGAGATGTAGTTAAAGAAGTGGGTTTTGTGTTCAACGCTTGTGAGTTAGCAAGGCCAGATGAGTCTGGCTAAGCCACCACTTCCCACAAGCTAACATAGAGAGACTCAGGCAAGCACATTAGGTCCTCCAGGAGGTTAAAGCACTCTGAAAAACAGATTCCCAATGAACCATCACTACCATCCTGCCCAGACCATCTTACCTAACTGAAATTGATTGGAGACATTCCCACACGTTTGCATTATCTCTGGACTATTCCATCCTAAGGGGTATAATGCACAGCCTGAGCTTATCAGCAGCCCTGGAAAGAAAAGCATACACACAGGTAGAAAAAGATATAACAAGTTGTCACCCCAACATTCCCTCTGGATTAGCTCAGTTCAAATTCTGCCTCTTCTACTCAGAGTTTACTTTTCCCCATTCACCCTGCATGTCTATGACACTACCCACTCAACAGCATGTTTTTGCCATGCCAAAGGTGGTGAATTACAGTAGAGAATAGAGGGCACAATCATGATGAAAGGGCAGTATTGGAAACTGAGATAGGCCAATGTACTTTTAACAACCAAAGTATTTTTGACAATAACTTACAAAGCTCAGTTGGCCTCTCTAACCAGACTCCTATTCTCTCTTGGTCTGATTTACAAAGAGGAACAATGTGGAGACTGCTACTTCTTCCTAAAATTCAACTTTGTCTAAGAGTCACACAGGTCACTGCTAACTGAAGTAATATGTCATGATTTATGTAACCTGAGAGTCAGCTGCCAGACTGAGATTTACAGAAAGCATACACATTGCATAAGCTTCTCCTGGTAAGCAGTGCACCACCCACTCTGTTCCAGAAACACTTCTTTCTTCTGAGAAATCATTCTAGCTTCATGCTAAGCATTCCTCCTTTTTTTTTGGCTTCCAGTGCCTTCCACTGTGTCCCTTCCCTTCATCTCCATTTTGTTTAGGTCCTTTAGCTACTACAGGGAAACTCTGTGGGATCTTCATGACAATCTTACTCTTCTGACCAGAGGTACAAATCTGTATCTGCTTGCTGACACTGTCTTCTAAGAGCAACGTGCCTCATCCACAGCTCTTGCTTTCTACCTAGGTTTTACACTTTACAGTGGCTTCCCACCAATACCCAGTGCTTTCGGTGACAATGGATAGGACTAAGTATTGGCATCTGATAAAAATGCAACCAAATTCCTTGGCTGGTCAGTAATGGGTGCTATCATAACCTGGAATGAAGAGATAAGCTGGGTGATATTCTTCTTCGTGGAAATTTTAATCAAGATACGGAGACGCTGAGCTAGTTGGCAGATAGAGAAGAAGTTAAGAAAAAACCACCAGGAGGTACAGTCAAGTCTCTGTTGAGTTGGAGCCAAGTTAGAACTTGGAGTCAGATTCCAGATTAACTCCAAAGTTATGAACAGACATCAGTTCTTAGTAAGCAGAGCAAACTGATTAGTAGAGGGAGAGACTGCAGGCATGAAACAGACCAGCCATGAGGGAAAACTCCATACTTGCCATGAAAGTGTTGGAGAGAATCCAGTCCTTCCCAATGGCTCTCCAGTTCCACTTTCATTATGTTACATGAAACTCCCTTTTCCTTGAGAGAACTCAAGTGAGTCTCTGCTACTGGCAACCAAGAGAGCCTAATTACAAAAACACCATACTTGGGTGTCACTCCAAGGTCATCTGCCACGAATGTGGATGCAGAAACTAACACATAACACAAACCCTCTAGCAAACACAGAGCAGGTGTTTGATCACTGATGAATGAATGGCATATTTATAGGTTCAAGAGCTCCAGGGTTCAGCTGGACAGAGAAAGGCAGGCTGCTCCAGGGACTGCTGGACTTCCCTTCCCTTTTCTTTTCTCACTAAGGAAGATTCTATATACATTCTGACAAGCTAATAAGCCCACTTTGCCTTCTGATTTATCATTTTATAAAAATATTTCAAGCACTCTCTAAGCTTGTCCACAACATGGTAACCAGCTCTTCTCAATACTCAATGAGGCCAGTCAAGGACCTTAAGAAATAGCAAGAAGCGTTTCAATAGGGAAACAGAGATAACTTTCTGACAGTGAGAACGAGCTTAAAAACTACAGGAATGACCAATTAATTTTAGAAATTCCTTTCAGTGGAATGCTTAAAATTAGAAGGCATTCTTATCTGTCTCATAGACTTAAAGGAAATGAAACTAGTCCCTCAAAGACTTCGTAGGCCCTCCTGTTTTTTACAGATGAACAGAAATTCTATGATATGAGGGCGTGTGGGGCAGGGTGTGTGACCCCAGAGTATGCACAATGGGTTAAGGACAAAATTGGAAATGAAACCTAAAACTTTTCCTGCTTCCTGTCTATACCCTTTGAGGGAAGTTACTAAAACCTGAGCTTTCCCACACAGACTAGGAAGAAAAGACCCGAGTTTACAAAAGCACAGCAGTTTGTTTTTCAGTCTCCACATTCAGATCCCTGGGACTGACATGAACTCTGATTTTTCAAGCAGGAACTAGTGCTGGTCAAGTGCCTTTCTTGACACGGCTGGGGGAAGCTTCCACTCTCTTTAGCCCCATGGCTCCTCAGATCTTACCATGCTGGTCAAGGATTACCTTTTCCCAGGAGACTTTCCTTGTTATCCCCAATGCCACAGCCCACCCCACAGTAAGTTTCATATTCCTTCTCTCTGTTCCCAGGACACCCTGGGCTCCCTCCTGTGATTAAAATACCCTGTGATATGTGTCCTTCACAGCTCTTTGTTGTCTGCTTCCCTCACTAGAGTGTGTGTCCCTTGAAGGGAGGTGGATATTTATCTTCAGCTGTGTACTCTTGGTACCTGGTACACCATAATTTGCTCTAAAAATGCATGTTTCAGAGTACGCTCTGCCTGTCTAACAGACAGCTTCCTTTGCCCACATCACCCAGCGGGGAGCCTTCTGAAGGGATCTCCATGGCAGCAATGGAGGATCACCCTAGACATCCAATACAGCCATAGAGACTTAGAGAGAGAAAGCCTTTGAAAGTTACCCCCTCCCTATTACAGATGTGGATGTTGAGACCCAGAGAGGGAATGTAATTTACACAATGTCACATAGCCAGTTATTGGCAGCACTTGTTCTCACTAATCAGAGAGAGCATCAGCCCTTTGAAGTTCTGTCTTTCTAGAGACAGATGTCCAGAAATGACCACCTTTTGACAACAATGTCTGTAACAGGCACTAAGAATCTTATAGGCAGCAGATCCAGAGAGACAGTGTAACATGATGGCTTACAAGAACAATACTATATTCTATACCTGAAAGCTGCCAAGAGAATAGATCTTAAATGTTCTCACCCACATGCACAAATAATTGTAATTATGGGAAGTGATGGATGTGTTATCTAACCTTATTGTGGTAATCATTTCACAATATATACCTGTATCAAATCATCACATTGTACACTTTACACTTACACAGTGTTATATATATGTCAATTATATTTCAATAGCGCTGGAGGGAAAAAAAAGAGAGAGAATGGGTTCCGTAATCAATATAGATCTAAGTGCAAATTCCAGTTCTGCCACCTAGAGGCTGTGTGACTTTAGGTAAGTTACTTAATCTCTCCGTGTCTCCATTATTTTGTCTTTGAGATGGGAATAATAGTACACTATCTTGAAGGGCTATTTCAAGAAGTAATACTCATAAAGTGCATGGCACACAGAACATGCTCCACAAAGATTTTTTCTTATTAAACAGCAACCTCTCCCTATGGCTGCTCTCTGAAGTTCCACCTGTGCTCCCCATGTTACTTCTTCTTCACACCTTTGTCCTCATAACAAACAGCTGAAAAAGGCTCAGTCAGAAGCCGCCTGGCTGGAGTTGTCTTGCAGTTTTTCACAGTCACCAGGCCAGAGACCAGAAATCTCTGCCAAGCCTGATTCTGACCAACCTGTTCCCTCTCCCATCCCCCATTTTCCCTCCTGCCTTTGACACAGGTGAGCCCAGTAGGTCGTACATATGCTTCATGGAGACATTGGACTTGTAAGTGACAGCTAATTCTATTACATTTCACCATAACTGGAGAAAAAAGTCCTGGGAGACATTTTTTTTTAAATGAAGTCCCAGGATTTATCCTCAATTATATTTGTCCCCAACAGTTCTCATCAATTTGGGATTGTGAAGATGTGCTACAAATAGCAACACAGAAGTCATTTGCCAGTTCCAGGCTCTGCCACCTTCTGAAAGAGTGGGGGCTTATTGAAAAGGTAGATTCCTTGGCCTCACCCACAGGTATGTGATTCAATAACTTAATCCGAGGGATATGCATTTCAAAAGCCCCCTAGTGATGCTAATGCCCCTGGTCCTGGTACTAGCACTTTAGAAAAACACCACTAAAAATAGTAAAAGCAGGAACTCCAGTGGCAGAGAAAACAATTGTAAATCCCATCCCTGCCATGTATGAGCTGTAGCCCTGGCGCCTACTTTTCTATGTGTCATTGCTAAGTCCCAGTTTTACTGCCTCTCCAACCACATGTGCCCCTTAAGAACTCTGTCCAAATGGCATATGCTTAGTTGGGTACTTTCTTGTTCTCATTTGCCCCTAGAAAGGGAAAGAAGAAAGCCCTTTAAAGTATGTTACCATCCTCACTTCCCTACTAAACATGTGCAGGTGACCAAGGTGCTGCCATCTGTTTCCCTCCCACAGCTTCTCCTTCCACAAGAATCCCCTACCACAAAATGTACCAAACAGCCTCCCCAAAAATGGCTACTCTAGTTTGAAGTCACTGCTCTGACCAAGCAGAGGTCTGGAGTTGGATACGTTACTCAGCTTCAGTCCTGGTGGCACCCTCAATGCCATCCAAATCCGCAGGTGCACATTCTTAGACAGAACTTGCAGCCCTCCTTCTTCCTGCTGCCAGAATTATTGCTTCCTCATATCCCAACAGCTATACAACCTCCTTCCAACTGCACATGCTCAGTTAGGCAGACACCTAATCTCTGTCTCTGGGCAGGGAAAACTTCCTCACTGATGTTACCAATCCCCTCAGACCCCCTTCACAAGTACAACAGTGGAGTGGGCAGCCCTTCTGTTACATTCCCCACTCCACCCCAAATATCTGTCCAAATATGGTTATTAGGTAGTTTAGATTTACTGCTCTGAGAAGAAGCCTAGTATGGGTTAATTTGTTATTAATTTTCTCAATTTATTGCTCTTGTAGCAACTTTGACTCAAACATAGTAGAAAATTTATGTCTGCCCTCCAGCTATATCTCAGAGTTATAAAACATTTCACTTCTGCTAGAGATTTCTAAAGTAGATCAGGTGGGACTTTGCAGAAAGGCTGCATTTGACCTGGCCTTTGAGAGTTAGACAGATATTTACAGGCAGGGATAGAAGAAAAGGGAATTCCAGGAAAAAAAAGAAACAGTATGAACAAAACTGAGCAGAGGTTCTCAAATTTTAGCATGTACTGGAATCATGCTGGGGAATGACATAACAAGTCCAACACAGTAGTTACCTTTGGTGTGGGGACAAGGGACTATGAGCAGAATATGATGGAGAGTTCAGCTACACTAAGAATATTCTATTTCTGAAGCTGAGTGGTGTATACCTCTGAACCATTTCATACTACATTTTCAAAACTAAATCAGCCTGAGAGGCTGTGTAAAATGCAGGGTGCCAGTATAGGTTCTAATCCAGTACGCTTAGAATGACACAGAGTCTGCATTAACAATCGCCCCAGGTAATTCTTCTATAAGAAGTTCATGAACCACTCTGAAAAAATATTGTGATGACGTATCTTCTCTGAAGGGAAAAATAAGACTCAATAGCACCAGTACAGAAAGCCCAGGGCTGACAGTCACAAGCCCTTGATCATGATCTCTGCTCTGCTCCAATTTACTACAGGAGTCTTTGCTAGTAGGTTAACTTCCTTAAACACCATTTTCCCAAACAGAAAGTCACTTTTATAATCCTTGTTCAGCATGGGAAGGATAAATAAAATGATGTCTGGTGAAACCTTAGAGGTTTTCTAGGAAATGCATGGTTTCCACAGAAGATAATGGTTTTTTTAGAAAAATAGCACCCTTTCCTTGACTCAAGTTCTCAGTGATCTCAGTGACAATTTTCATTTGGCTTGAAGCATGTAGCATTAGGATCTTACATGGAGAAAAACCCTTGTGTCTGACTGGGTGTGTTGAATTCTATCCCTTTAACCAAAAAATAAATAAATAAAATGTTCAGGGTGGTGGTTCTCACTTGGGGAAAGGAACACAGCATATATATCAGAGTCACTGTGGAGATTTTTCAAAACATGCAGCCTTCACCTGCTGCTCTGGATATCAGAATAGGAAAGAGGACTAGAGAGTTGGGGAGTCCATTTTTTTAAGCACTCCAGGTGATTCTGGTACATGCCCTGCTCAAGAAAGATTATTGGCCTCTCTCAAGTAACCTGATCCAAGATCTTATGTTTTTCCTGCCAAGAAGTTCCTTCTATATACTTCTCACCTATTTCTTTTTTGTTTGGCTCTCACTGAAGATAGAGGATAATTCACAAGCATCTTGCATATGTATACACAGAGGAATGTGAATAATAACCTTGTTCTCAGGGACTGGGGGCCAGCTGCCTGGAAACCTCAGCATCCCCAGGGTTGAAATAATCTCCTGGCCAGATGTTTCCTTCACTGGTTGGAGCAGGGCATGAAGATCCCAGTGGAAGGCTCTCCGGAGCCTAGGCTTGTCCAGCTGGATCAGCTGCAGGTGAAGCAAATGGGGCCCAAGGGCCCCATCAGGTCACCTTGCTGAGTATGACTCAGGCCAGCAGCTCTTTATTTCTTCCTGTTGCTCCCACTTCCCACCGCTCATCTCTGTGGGCTGCCGCCAAACTGGGGAACAAGAGTCAGGCAGGGGGTGGGGGTGGTTCTTAATGGATACTCCATCTCTTCAGTGGTTTGGGGTCTGGCAGAGATAAACCAAGCCTGAAGCAAACTGGCTCCTCCCCCTGATGTATTTCGGTTAATGCACTAGCTGCCGAGAAGCAGCCAGGCCTGGAGCAACAAAATCAATTCCCTTCAGCTGAACAGCAAAGTTAAACTTAACCCCACAGCTCTTTCTCTTGTGTCTTTTATCCATGGAGCTCAAAATGCTGTTCAAGCTTAGCTTCCTGCCACTGGCAGAGCCTGTCTCTGAGGGGTCAGACCCAAGATCTCTGAACAGCTTTGGGTAATGGCCGTGTGCTAAGGGAATCCTAGAAAATGTGATACATCCAAGCAGTCTTCACCATTTCTTCACTTCTGGTATAACCTTGACTGGCACCAGCTTCTAAATAGAAGGTGAGAATGAGTCTCAGTTGTCTGGTGTTATAGATGGGGAAGCTGTGGAAATTTAGCTCTCTGTCCAATTGTCATTCCGTTGCCCAGCACACCTTGTAGCACACGTTGGGTCTTGTCTCTTCCCATGACTACTGTCAAATGGCATTTTATTTTTGAACTTTAAAGACCCTTATCTAAAAGTAAACACTGTGACCGTGTTTCTATGAGTAAGGGTCAATGGGGAATATAGTGTAGCAGAATCATATGAGATGAAAACGGTGCTGGTGTTTTGACTTCCTCTGTATGACACCTGCCACTTAGCCAAAGTTCTTCCCTACTCAGTCCATGAGTGTCTGAATCTCCATTACTTACTTACATCTCCCCTCAACAATTTCCATTGAGTTTCTAGACCTAGGAAGTAGAATAAACTAAACTGAATCATGTGGAGAGCTGCAACGGTTTTGTAACAGTCTCAGTCAAGCCCAACATAGGGAGCAAGCTGGGAGTAGGAGTCACTTTTAGTGCTTGGAGTCTGTTGGTGGCTGTTGTTCCTGGCCCTCCTGATTCCTACAAGATACTCCCTCCTCAATCTCTGCCAGAAACTCTTAGAAATGCGAGTGAGGCTAAGTTGTCACTCTCAAGTCAGAAGAGAAGAGAACTCAGGGTGTTGACCCCCTTGATTGGGAAGCCTAGGGGGAAAAAGTTAAATATGTGAACGAACCCAGCCCTTACATGTGCATCTTATCCCAACATATACTAGACATTGCCTAAGCCATGTGTTTATTCTTTCTACAGTAACAGAAGACCTGTTCTGTGTCAGGCACTGAGCTGGGCCCTGGAGTTATAAGTATGAGTTGCAAAGACCACCCCTTTCTTCTGCTAGCTGACTGTCACTTCCTGAAACAGAGTGACCATTGAAATGCTGAGCTAGCTATAGCATGACAAACAATGCAGGTAAAAGATGAGCCTGCTTAAGGTTCAGTTGTGATATCCACAGAGTGCCCAAAGGGGTACAAAGTGGCTGGTTTGGACCAGTCTTATGATTGGTTCTGTACCATATTTTTCAAGGGGAGGAAGGGAAGAAAGAAACTGATCTAACACTTTCCAGTGTGGCTAGAAAATCCTTCGCAGCCAAAGAGTGGAAAAATTCAGAGATAAGGAAGGCTAGAATATTAATTCAGATTTAAAATTTTTGCAATGAGCCAGAGGAAAGACGGAACTAGAAAACATCACCTCAACTGGCACAAGAAGAAGAATCTGGTGTATGTGCTGATCACATCACTGTCCTCTGAGATAACTATCAGAGGTCAGGGCTCTCAGAAGTCAAGTTTATTTTGCAGCAGGAATACGAGAGTATATGTTGCTGTTCCTGGAAAGCAGATCTGGATAATATTCTTAAATGGGTATCCTGCAGGCAAAAGAAGGTGATGAAATGGTTGCTAAAAAACAGATACCAACTCTGCCTGCTAGCGAATTTTGTTGAGAATAAAACCCTGATGTAGATTGCACTTTGGGAAGTTCTGGACTAGGTGTTTCAAAGGAGTCTACTATTCACAGCCTTAGGGTTGGCCAAAGGGAGGGCATGAGAGTGGATTTCCCTGTAAAGGAAGACTTCTCACTTCCCACCCCCAACAAAGCTCCCAACCTACCCAGTCCCAACAACCAGTCTTACCTCCCACAAACTGCGCTGCTCCCATGCAACGTCCCATCATTCTGGAGATGAGCTCCTCCATGCAGCAGCCCAGGACAGCAGCCAATGCCACCAGGAGCAGCAGAGCACAGCCAGCACCTGTCACCACCGTGCACATCTGCCAGGCCAGGCTTGGGATGGCACTGAAGCTGGCATAGCGCCCACACTCTTCCACCATGATCAGACTGTGTCCCTCTCCCCGCACAGGGTAGTTGCACCTCCGGAATGTGCTGAATGACACTGGCTTCCCCAGCTGGGATCCAAAGAGCCAGTAAGGCAGGAAGTAACTGGTAGAACTGGCCACAGCAGTAACAAGGGACAGGAAGGCCCAGAGGGTCCCCACCAGGGTCAGGCTGCTCCTCATGGTCCCAGGTTTCTCTGCAGGGATGGGGAAAGGAGTTGGGTCACAGCACCAAATGCAGAAAGCTATCATAAAGGCTCTACCAGCCTATTTTTCATCTGGCTGGCCAGCCCTGGGGCTCATTTATGTGCTACATGGCCCTTGCTTCTGGATAAGATTATTCTCCCTAGGACACTGGGGTCCTTATGGGATTCAGCTTCCCAGCACTTTTCCCATCTTCCCGTCCTTATGCCTGATTCAGAGTACTATGGTCTCTAGGCTGTAACAGAAGAACCATAGAACTGAATCAGTGACTGTTCTGCCAAGTCAGAGGCAGCCTGATCAGACAGCTTTTGATTCTTGGCAGCCAGCATGGAACAAGTGTCAGGAGGGAAGACAGAATGAAACTCACACTGCACAGAGAGCACCCAGCTTCCAGGAGAATGGCCTTGCTGGCTGAGAGGCCTGCAAGGAGGTGATAGCTCAAGAGGGCCAGGAAGCAAGTTGTTTTTCAGGGAGTGAAGGAGGAAGACCCTCACAGGGCATGGCCCTGCTGCAGGGAGGAGAGAAAAGAAGAGCTTACTGTGGAGTCATACAGTGTCCCTTTTGGCCTCGCTATGATGTCCAGTCATGCATTACTGGGGGCTTTTCACTGGGATACACTAGCTAAGGTGAAATAGGTAGAATAAAATAAGCAGTGCCTAGCCTCACACCCTATACTTAACACTGAGCAAGCACTGGTCAGTCACTTCCTAAAATCGAAATGGAAGGCAACTTTCCAACCAGTGCAGGTTCTTAATTCTACACTTGCTACCAAGCTGCTGCAACCTTTTCCAAATAGAGTCAAGAAAACCTCTCAGATCTCTGAAATGGATCAGATACCCCCTGCCTAGCAGCAGGAACATATATGGAGCTGTTAGGACCTCTCAAGGTGCCTTTTGGAACAAATAATCTGAGATTTAAGACTCGGAGAGTCTTTTCAGATTCAAGCTTCTCAGCACAGCTCAGAAATGGCTTTCACAGACCCCTCTGTCAAAAATCAACCACTTCCTGCCCAACTGCATTAATTTGCCATTGCTTTCTGGCCTGTTTCTCAATTAGGGGAGCCAGAGTCCACACGGCAGCTTGATAACAGCACTGTGAATGTCTCCAGCAGGCAGATGGTGGAGTATGTTTCAGAAACTTCTCCATGATTCATCACCATTGCTTAAAGTTACTAGTAGTGGGAGCAGGGTCCAGGTGTGGAGGACTCAAGGCAAGGGAAGTGCAGGGATGGGCTGTATGGGGCCACCACCCTGCCAATTCGGGACATTGTCAAGAGCAAGCAGCAGTTGTACTCAGGGTCTCAGGGACCATGCTCAGCCATGAGCCTTTTTACAACCATCATCAAACAGTGCCCATCACAGAGTAGGCACTCCAGCTCATGAGTGTTTAATGAAACCCATTTCATTGATGCATCCAATTTCTAGGCTGGCTGGGACCTTAATGGATCACCTAATTCAACCTTCTTGTTTTACTTGTGGGGGTGTATGGCCTGGTAAAGAGGGAGATGATTCCCCCCAAGTCACAGAGCCAGTTAGCAAGCAGCAACACCATAATAAGAAACCGGAGCTGCGGATTCCTACCACAGATTGCTAACTCCCCTTCCCCCATCACTTTACGGATGGGAATATGAAGGGGAAGCAATTTACCCAAAAGTAAAGTGTTAGTGAGGCACACTGGCCTGCCCAGAACCCAGTCATCTGATTCTTAGTATAATGCTCTGTTTTCACTCCACCATAATCCCCCCTCCTGCTGCATACACATTGTGTGTGCGAAGGGCTTTGTGCAGGAAGGGAGCAGAGATCATAAATTGCAGGTGCTTACTTTGGAATGCTGGGGCTTGGGAAGAAAGTGCCCTGAGCTGGGCCCCTGGGAATGAGGCTTTGTGTCTGAGAGTGGGGGAATGAGGGAAAGATATGATGGGGGATGGAAGGCCAACAGGGGAAGTAGAAGTAGTTTTGAGTAATTGCTGTTGGAAAGCAGGTACGCTTGGCCGCAATGAGGCAATGCCTCTGTTTGTTATATTTGAGCTTGTAAGATTGCAAAAAGTGCAAGAAACCCTCTGTTAGGGACTTGCTTCCTGGTGAAGAAGCCCAGGCCAGAGGATGCGAGGAAGCAAGCTGATAAACAGCTGCTGGCTGCATCATCATATCCCTTCCAAGTCCTTTATTTCAAGTGCTCTGCCTAACATTCTTCTTAGGTTGCTAAGAAAGGTATTATCCCCAGCTTACAAATGGGCAAATTAAGGGTCAGAAAGCCAAGTGCCTTGACAAAGGTTACACAGTGATTCAGTGGCAGAACCATCAGTCCCCATGTCTCCTTCACCCACACAACCTTCCCCAATTCTCCCTCATCACCAAAGCAGTATTACAATTCAAAGCCTCCATTGTTTGCCATCCAGGATTTCAAAGAATGTTTACGGATGGGGAAAGAATTAGAGGGGCACACAGGGAAGGCAGGAGGAAGGCAAGTTTATCTAAGCCATGTGTAAACCAGCAGCACGAGAGAGCATTATCTATTTCAAGCTCAGCAGTTGTAGTCAGAGGTAACTCTACAAAGGTCATCATCTTGAAATCAAAAGTCCCAATGTGACAGGCAGTAGAAGGGCAGAAAACATAGGCAGAGGAAGGGACTCTATCAGTGAGGGGTACCAAGACTGTACTACAAATAAGAGGAGGAGTTCTGACATAAAGTTAATATCACCTCTGACAAATCAGGCTGTTTTTAAAACTGTAATACTACCAACCATTGTTACCACAATTTCATTTTAAAAATGGCATTTTGAAGCCAAGGTGTAGGAAGGCAGAGTCATAAAATTCAGTTTAAATTAAAAACATTTAGCTTTAGAACTCTTTGGCTTTCAGAATTTAATTGAAATATTTTTAACTTCAGGAAAAGCTCATCATCCTTATTTTGTGTAGGACTAGGATGACCAACCACATCAGTTCATCTGGGACTGAGGGGTTTCCGGGGATGTAGGGCTTTCACATAAAACTAGGGAAGTCCCAAGTTTGGATGAGTTAGTCACCCTATTTAGGGCTAAAGTGGGTTAGCCTGTATCACCCATGGACAGCAGGTGGAGAATCACCACCACAGATAATTCTCTAGTTCTCTCTCCACAACTCACACTAAAGTTAAAAGTGACCAAGGACTTAAACAATGGAGGGATGAAATCTATCTATTTTGAGTGTAAATCTTTCAGAATCATAGGCTTGACCTCATGCAGTCAAGGAAGAGATCTCAGAGATCCAATTGCTCAATATTTTCTGAGCACAAAATCACGTCAGCCCAGCTGCTCCTGTGGCTGGGAGACAACAGGCCATGTGGGGTCTGTGCATGCACGTTGTTACATGGGCCAGACAGGAAGTGCATTCAAGCAAATGTTTTTAGTTCTTGCATCATCTACAATGGAGTAACCTCCCTTCATGACAGCCCTCCAAAGCCATCCAAGTTTATTCCTAGGACTTAGCCAAGTTGTTTTGCATTCACATAAAGAAAAATCACATGCAGTGCTCTACTTCATTCTGTCTTTATTCCTCTTGTATATTTCATGCATGCAGTAGCTTTGTTTCCCTGTCCTGGAACGTCTAGCCTCACAGCCACATTGGATTTTAGAATCTGAGAGCTCACCCTGGTGCTCCTGCAAAGTGGTCCAGTAACCAGGTGTTGATAGGATTGCTATGATCCTCTCTCTTTAGCTGTTACACAGCCACTCATCCCTTGGATTTTCCATCTCCTAAGTGGTTCACATGCCTGTTTCTGAGAGTGATTGTATGAGATACAGTGAGCATGGCCAGAAAGTTGTTAACAACTAGGGTGGAAGCATGAGGTCTATTCTGAACTCACTATCCTCATCAAAGGCCAATGTTCACTCATTTTTAGAGATACAGTAGTCATTCCAACATAGACTCATGAATAGAAATCACTTCATCCTATATGAGGCAGGAAGCCCACTTAAGCCGTGTATGTGAAATGGTTATCTATAATGCTTCTAAAGAACTCTAGAGAAGGGAACTTTACAATTTTTCTCAGTAGCTTAATAACAATCACTGTCAATAAATTGTTATTTCTCATTTTAAGCCTTTTCTGCTTGCAACTTAAGGCCAATTCCTTTGGTCAGGTCCTCTCAGGGAATGGAGAGCAGCTTGGCCACTTCCAGCGAACACTTCATCACTCAGGTTGTTGGTTGCCTACCGTTAGACTGTTTTTCCCCAAACGAGCACTCTTCCTCTCCCTGTGGTGTCTCACTGACAAGCCTTTTATCATTTGCTCTCTCCTTTTCACTCTCATGTACACCTACTCATATATGGACACTTACTTAGTATCAGTGAAACTGGAAATATTGTTCTTATATTTTTCTTAGTGGAGACAAAGAAACCAAATTTTCCCTCTACCCTACCTCCTCCCCTATCTCTACAGAAAGAGACCCAAATGCTCTTGTTCCCACTTGTACTTCTCATATGATTTCTGAGTTAAGGAAAGCACTACCTTAACAAGGGTAACATGGTCCAAGGGAAGCAGCTAGCAAGTTAACGACCAGAACCTGAAGTGGTCAGAAAGGGAATCTCTGACTTGCAGCTGCTGAGGAGAATCTGGCTCTAAGACTACCAGTCTTGGACTGTCCTGCAAGGAGCAGCTTTGTTGGTATTGGTGTTGGCAAAAGAATATGAACAGGCCCTTCTCCTCAGGCCCCAGACAGTGTGCAATGCCTACTTGCCAACCTGTTACACTTACACTATACTCCATGTCAAAACTTCTATAGGAAATGAGTGAGACCCACAGGCATAAGCTTCCAGCAAGTAAATAGAGTCCTACTCCAGAGAAATGGCTGCCCAATGTGACTTCTTGTATCAAGTTTGGTATATAAGCAGCATGGCCATTCTAGATCTTTCTGCTTCAGGCACAGCCTCAAAAAGAAGCTACTACCACTTTCCAAATATTTCACTCCTCATTTTCCTCCACCCGAGTCCCTCAGAACTTTC